TTTCATTCTATATGTATGTAGGCATCTTGATCCAGTGATTCATGGAGACTACCCAGAGATAGTAAAAAAATATGCGGGAAATAAATTACCTTCGTTTACCGTAGAACAATCAAAGATATTAAGAAATTCATCAGATTTCGTTGGAGTAAATTACTATACAGCGCGTTACGTTATCCATACACCTCACATCGATCCTGAAAAGCCTCGATTCAAGACTGACCATCACGTCGAATGGAAATGTACGTAATGCTAATTACTATATATAAAGATTGATCCATACCATTGTTTATTAAGCTTCGATGGTAAACTAAACAAAGTTTATAAATTGCTTTGAAACAGTGACTAACCACAGTGGCCACATCATCGGACCAGGGGTACGTAGTTACTTTTTTTCATAACTATTAATTTCTAAATGTGGCGTATAATATCATCCTAAGATATTTAAAATATTTTATAATTTTTCCTCAGGGAGAAAGGGGAAAAATATTGTCGCATCCGGAAGGCTTGCGAAAAGTCCTAAATTATATCAAAGATAAATACAATAACATGCCCGTCTACATTAAAGAAAATGGTTAGAAATCATTTTTTATGAAAAGATTCTGAAATTGTCATTTTATTAGTTGAGCAAACTAACGATTAATTTTTTAGACACGATTAACTACTTATAGTTTATGTTGATTACTGAATTTCAGGTATCAGTGAAGACGACGATGGTACAAAACCAAGAGAAGAGATTCTTAAGGACAAATATAGGATTGAGTACCATGACACACATTTCCAAGAACTCCACAAAGCTATAGTGTTAGTTCTTGATCTCTATCTCACAATTTATTTATACAATACGTTTCAGTTTTCGTCGATCATTTTTATTGATGAGTTTTTAAAAATATGTTATAGGGAAGATGGGTGTGACGTAAGAGGATATTATGCATGGTCATTGTTGGACAACTTTGAATGGGAACATGGATACACAGCTAGATTTGGTCTTTACTATGTTGACTTTGTCAACGGTCTCAAACGTTATCCAAAAGACTCGGTGAAATGGTTTAAGCGGTTCCTTAAGAGATCAGTCGGAGAGAGTAAAGAAGAGGATGTGAAGGAGAAGTCATGTGTGGGGTGGAATAAGACTCTGCATGAGCAAGAGGGTTTCAAAGACTCGGCGAGTTTCTTTGTATCTTTCATGGCTACGAACCAATCGAGGAGAGAGGAAGAGAAAAATCGTGGTTTGCAGGGAATAGAGAATCCATCGTCGTTTTATTAGATTTTAAAACCCTTATGGTTGATATGTAATTCGAGGCAACAATAAAAATATGTGTTTGTTACTTTGTTTAGAATTTAATTTAATTTTTTGTTTCATTAACATTATGTTGGATTGCATTCGGATAGTGATACAATGTGAACACTAACACAAATGAAATACTTTAAACCATACTTTAGTTATACATCAAATGAAATATTTTAAACCATTATCATATACATATATTTGTTAGGGGAAACGGCTATATATATGTTACAACTTAATTTATATATAGCTATACATACATAACTATCTTTTGTCATATTGTTATTTGTTACTGTTATGCAGCTGTATCACCAGATAAATGAAATTGAATAACTTAAACACACAATTTTTTTGAAGGTAAGATAACGTTAGTGGTTAACAAATTGTATATCTCACCAAAATCACTTTCATCAAAAACTGATCCAACATGATAATTAAAACGCTAGCTGGATCCCTTAGCTGACATGACAAGTGTCTAGTTGTGGTTTTCTTAATCATTGGATCAAAAGTCAAAGACGATACAAACACAGTCACAAGTAAAACTTGTAACTTTGTTCTTTCTTTCTTTCTTCAACAAAACGTTTTTTTTTTTTGAAACAAAAAAATTTATCTCTTGCTTAAAACATATTGGATCAAAGTCAAAGACGTTAACTAACTGTCCGAGGCAAAACTATTATAGAAGTTGATTTGTTTTCTTCTGAATTATGGAGTATTGTGGTGAAGTGTCTCTCTTTTTCTTTGAGATCATACTCTAATTTTTACAATATAGCGAATATCTACCATGTCGTGTACAATATAGCAAAAATTTTACCATGTGTGGGCCACAAGCTAAAAAATTTTTTGGGCCTAATTTAAAAACTAAAAAAAAAAAATTATGTCAAAAGTTTTACCTAAGAATCGAACCTAGCAACTGATGGCAATAATTTTGAAACAACTACACTACAAGCATTTTTTAAGAAAATACGGGCCGATAATTTATATAATTTATTTTGAACCACAAACTGATGCTTGTCCCGTTTGCCCTCAGGACCGGACCTGATCGTGTGTATATTGATTACACGAGGTATCAAGAATAAAAAATCTAGATTACTGAAGTTTAGCTAAGCCTA